CGCACCGCGCCATCCTCTCGGTCCACTCGCACGAGCTGCGCCACCTCTTCTCCAGCCCGGCCCCGGCCTCGCCATCCAAGGCCCCGGTCTTCGACCACCCGCCCGCCCCCGCTTCCACCCCGCCGCTCCCGCCGCCCGCCCCGCCCAACCCCGCCGCGCGCTACCGCCTCCACATCTCCGTCGACGACCTGCCCGACGCCCACCTCCTCAAGGGCTGGCAGCTCATCCACGCCTACATGTACGGAGCCCCCGTCTCGCTCGACACCGAAATCGCCCTCGCCGCCCTCCCGATTTGCCGCCGCTACCGCTTCGACGACCTCTCCGCCATCCTCGACGCCTACTTGGCCGACGGCGCCGTCGATCCCACAAACGCCACCCGCGTCTTCGCCGCCGCCGTGTCCAACCCATACCCCGTCAGGGCCCGCCACGCCGACAACCAGCTCGTCCAGTACGCCGCGTGGAACCTCATGAAGACCCGCTTTGACGACGTCCAATCGTGGCACTACCTCCCCTACCCCGCCCTCGTCCGACTGCTCAAGCTGAACGACCTGCGCGTCCCCTCCGAGAAGACCGTCTTCGATGCCGTCGCCGCCTGGATTCGAGGCAACGCCCCCGTGCAGGATGACGTCGTCGCGGGGCTCGTTAAGCTTGTCAGGTTTCCCACCATGACCGAGCCGGAGCTGGACGCCGCCGCCACCGATCGACTCGTCGCTGAGTTTCCGGTTTGTAGAAAGTACTTGTCGAGAGGGTTTGCAGCACGCGCGGATGAGAGACGGGGCTTGGTCAGGTCCATTGTCATGGAGAGTAGCCCAGTTTATAGGAGGAGGCGCACCGACGCCCTCACGTTTGCAGATAGGGTCACCCCGTGGTCGAGGATTGAGCACAGCGTCCAGACAAGCTCCAGATATTTTGCGGGGTGCCTGTGGAACCTCGTCTTGGAAACCGATGATGAATGGGTCGGCTTGCATTTGGGCTGCTTAGCGGAGAACGACGAGAGGGAGCTGGATGTCGAGTTGGACTTTTCCCTCTTTGTTGTCAAGCATGATGGGGGCGAGGAGCCCCAGCTGGTCAAGAAGCAGGTAAAGGGCGCCGGGTTTGGAAGGTCGGGCATGAGGATTGGCTTTGAACATATGATGAAGAGGGAGGACATCGAAAAGGAGGGGAGCAGGTTCTTGATGCGAGATACGCTGTTTATCGGCGCTAGCTTAAGGTTGAGATGCTCGAAGGAAAATGTTATTGGTATTACGGTAGAGGAGGATGATACGGCAGAATGCGTATCCCGCGTATCATAAGTGGAGCCTGTGGGCGCCCGTCACACATCACGCTATACAGAAGTTGGCGACATAGAGGGCAGCTTGCCTTTTTTTCGGAGGAAGTTCCGTCCTTTCTTTGACCGAGATGAGGAATTTTTCATTTCATGTGGCAAACTTCTCTGTCTCTGTTCTAGACAGCGAAAGAATTGGATGTGCAGCAGCTCAGTTTACACCGTCTAAATAATTGACTGTACAGCCAAGAGACTGCATCAGTTAAGAATTATGGGGGTGATATTTGACACATCCTATTTCTTTTGTCTATCAGAGTATCATTATGAACAGGTGCCTCGCAAGAATAGCTAGCAGTAGGATAGAAGAATATATATCGTTTTAAATTCCCGTTCTCAATCGCCCAGAGCCCCGCTGAAATGTAACGTCATGTTCGCCAGGATCGAGCCTATCGCACGCGATTCCAAATAGTGCAGTAGAGCATCCCTCTAGATACCGCAGCGGTCTAATATGAAATCTATAGCCTAATTTTAGGGTATACAAGTAATGCAGAATTGTCCAGGCGTAAACTCTCTATTGTTGAAGCGGGTTGTTAAATCTAATGGCTGCTCTATAATTTTCAGAACGATTTTTTGAAAATTCGTTGATGAAATCATCATGTAGTCGCGCAACCCTACTGCACATGACGGCATCTAATTTGAGTTGCTGCCAGCTGATCTCATTGTAGGGTCGTTAACGACCCTACAAAGCGCGCTATTCCACATGCAAGGCTCGCCCAAGACGTATTCTAGGCGTTTGCCTCGCGAGAACTATTGGCCATTGGCCAATCAAGGGCGACAGCGTGGCATTATCATTCCATAGAATACATCACGTTCATGGTCTATTGGGACCTCCAATAGACCACGAACGTGATCTAATGAAAATCAAAACCAAACGAATATATATTTTATCACGCGGTAAAGTGACAATCAGTGATGGAAATGAAAAAAACCCAATGCGATTCATTATTCATCACGCGGTAGAGATGCTTTTAGTTTGAGGAGGCAGCACATCATCCACAGGGTGCATCTGCCTTGGTTTAGATCGCAAAATACAGTCTCCTCTTCAACATCATCATTAATAAATAATTTCGCAGCTGCCCGAGTGGCGTACTGCGTAGTGACGAAAAAGAGCGGGCTGACGAGTGCCTTTCAGACGATTTTTTTCTATGTATAGAAAAAAATCGTAGAAATGATCCTCTCTCTACTTTCTCTTAGGTTCCAAGACGCGTTTCAAAAAAGCGTTGGGCCAATGTCTCAGACGAACGATAGCATGAGACGAAAGGAAACCCCAAACATCTGTAACATTTTAAAAAATTCTGAATTGTCGTCCTCTTTAAAGTGTTACGAGAGACAAGCAATGGGTCATGTATGGTGTAAAGTATAGCAGTCACGTCAAACATCAAGAAACACAATTCCAATTCGCCCTTGTAGCATCTCGAGTCTGATGCTCTCGACCAGAGGGCACCGGTTGCGTGGCAGGGGTAATTGGCAACTTCCGATTCTTTGCGGGGACATTCATCGACCAAATTACGAGGATGAAGAACTCTCTTCTCCGGGCACATAATTTCAATGGTAACTACTCTACAATGCCTGTAAATCACGAGCGGTAGGTTTCAAAGTTTATATAAAAGTGTCCAGGCATCCAAAAGAAAAACGGCTGTGCTAAACGTAGATGCGGGCGCTGGTCATATGCTACTGGAAAGAGACATGAGCACATCTCCGCACTTCTACTGAGGAACGTCTTTGTACGACCGAGAGCAATTATGGAAAAAACTGTTGAAATTTCTCCCGCCGTGGACCATGATCGACTCATGAGCATGGCCGAGGAGGAGCTCGTGAATCGCAGAATAGCGGCATCTGATCAATTTAAGAGCTCTTTACTTGTGGCTTCAAACGCGATTCAAGCCACTCGCATGCTAGAAAACTTGAAAATCGTCTTAACGGGCAAGAAAGAAAGGGGAGAGGAAACGGAAGTCATAGAGCGTCAAGTGGAAGAGGCAGACGCACTTTTTCGAGAGGCAATTCATGAGTATGATGACGAGAAAATATTTGATGTAGCTGGGCGGGTTGAACAGCTAACGCTGAGCCATGATCCCTTCTATCTTGAGGGCGAGGAGGTCCGGAAAAACGAATTTTTTGAAAAGAAACGCAAGGCAGGTGTTCGGCGAGCAACTTGGGCGAACAGCCCTTCTTCCCGATTTGTTAGCTTGATGAAAGGTGATTTGGAAGGCATTGAAGAGGTGACAGAAGAGGAACAACGATCGTGCATATCTAAATGCGCATGGGGCTTCGCCATTCTTGGAATGGTAGTAGCAATTAGCTTTCTCATCGCTGATTTCTGGTCAGCACAAGTCAGTCCAGCCATATCAACCAATTTGGTTCGAAACGACGACTTGGTTCTACCAGTCATCTACGCCTGTCTCTCACTTCCCAACATTCCAATTTTTGAGGACCTACCGAATGAGCGCTACAAGGGATCGTCTCTATGGGGCTTGCGAAGCTACGAAAACTTGGAAAGTGGGGAAAATATGATGTTTCCAGATACGAATTCAATTGCAGAACCGTCCTTCCTCGGCAATTTAGACCATTGTCCTAATGTTTCACGAAAGCTCTCTGCAGAGGCACTAAAGGATGCTTTAGGATTCGAACCAGATCCATCAAAAAGGTGTCACTCCTGTCTGAGAATTGGTAGGAAGGTTCCGTTCCGGCTGAATCGGGAAGCGGCATCGGTACGCCCAAGAGGTGCCATCACTCTGGAGTTTGCCTCATCGAGACTTCTTGAATTGTGTTTTAATCCCAGTCAGGGAAGCAATGAAGTCGTCAAGAACGGACTACGAGACGTCTTGAAGGCGCAAGGCGAAGATCTGGAGAAGAAGAAGATTGTGGAAATAATCGCTGCGCCCTCGTTGAGTTTCGCCCTCAATTATGGATTTGATGATTTCAAAAACGGAAACACTGAACTCCGAAACGACGGACTTCAGAAGGAACTGTCAGTTCTATGCAACTTGTATTTCTTCTCAGGCCACTTCTTTCCTGTTGAAAGCGGAAAAGAAACAAAATACATCTACGATTTGAATGGCGGCGTGAATTCTTGGAAGGAGGTCGGAAACACCTCTAACTTTTTCAGGTCTGTTAGTGACACCACACTCGTTTCTGACATTGATGTGAGCCGAGAGGCTATTCTCAAATCCATGACACAAGAAAACCGGGAAGAAGCGTTTGTAATTGCCGATGCGGGCATTGAAGTTTTTAAGGTGGACGACCCGTCACGTCCACCGGGAGCATACAAGGATTTTGTTCGCTCGTTGCGGCGAAACCACCGCGACACACTTTCCTTTACAAAGAAAATTGATAGTGGGGTCAGCACATACGCAACGTCGTTTCACTACGGAGAACAGAAGATCTTCAAAGCAGTCGGACTGCACCGGCGGTACAACATCTCTCTAGATTACAAAACGTTCGACACGGAAGTTATTACGCGAAGACCGGCGACATCGACGGCTGAGTTTTTGACGGATGTGTTCGAATACGTGGGGCTTTTCACAGGCATATGCGCGTACAGTGTTCTTGTGGGCCCTGCTCGAATGTACCTCAAGCGGAAACCGACGCAACCGAATGCACAGTAGTCTTCGTGCGCACATGCAGAAGCTGCAAGGAGGTCATGTGGTCCCAGATTACATCTACTTGGACCTTCGTGGTTCTGGAAGGATCATCGAAAGTTCATTGCTTCTGAGACTTGATGCTGCTGACTTTTGGGAAGCTGGGACATCTTTGAACCTCTACATGAAGGAGAAAGATCAGGAATACTGGAGTGTGAAGCTCGTAGAGTGGGCAACATTTGCGTTGGCCTTGGCACCAGCACGGCAGATGCTTTCTGTGCGTTCTTTACAGTATAATGATGGAAGAAAAAAATATTTTGTTTTGGATGGCTCGATGCCTAGCCCCCGACCTCCCCCCTCCTGCGGCACCGCGAAG